CGGAGGGTCTGTCTGCTCTCTGAATTGTAACGCTGTTGTGACATGAGTGGTTTTTATGGGATTGCTGACTCTTCTCGCAGTAGTGCAAAGCAGGAGTTATTTTGCCCATTAGGAAAAAAAAAAAAGCCCATCGAAAGTGCAGTGAGCTCTCTCAGTCTCTCACAAATGATTACTTCAACAGGTTTCCAGTTCCCAAGATGATGGCAGTATAACTTACAAAATATTTCCACCGAAGAAACTGTTTTGAAGGCAGAAACATGTAGAGAAGTACTTGCTTCTGGATGGCATCTGTATTTTCATGTGAACCTACAAGAGGTAGGCATGTTGTGTTATGAATGAACTTGTATACACACTGGATTAGCTAAAACCTTTTCTTGCAGAATTTAGGGTGTTTCCTGAGGCACTGTGAAAACGCACAGTGTGTCTTTTTAGTGATCTCTGGTGCTGGGATTCCAGGACGTACGTGGCAGAATGTTGCTCGTCTTTGTGTTGGGGCTTTGTTGGCGTTTAATACAAACTTCCTGGGAAATTTTCGCTGCTGCTGTATTTTTTCCCTTCTATATCAGTGAAATGCTTTTCACTTGAAACAAGCTTTAAGGGTATCTGCAGGTTTCATTTGGTTTGTTTACTGAAAAGTTTATCTTAAAACATGTGCTATAAACTGGTGTTTTCCAGTGTTCACTCAAAGATGAAATTCTGGTACTCATTCCCATAGTTCCAGCACCACAACCCTCAAAGCTATTTGCATTTACAGGACTCTCTCATCAGACACACTCTGGAGCTAATCTCTCTAATTCTGCACTTGTTAGAATGAATACAGCATTTTGTATTGCTGAATCTGTACTGACTCTATATTGCTGCTAGTAATTGGTAAAGAGTTTTGAGGATCTACCGAACGTCTAGAGCGTCAGTTGCTAAAGATTAGGATTGTGAACTTTGGGCTGAAGATGTTCCAGTTGCTATATCATTGCAGCATAACCCAGATTAGATTAGTGGGAATACTTGTTTTTTGGCGGTTTGGGGTTTTGGTTTTTTTCCCCCCTCCTAACTGGATGCAGGGAGCAGAGTTAATGGCAAGGAACGGTTGGCGATTTCCCTGAATAAAGCTGATGCCTGTGGAGGAGAAGCAGGAAAAGGAGCCCTTTTTTTTAATCCCAAGGAGTTCTGGACATGAGATTCCTGCCTCTTATGTTATTTATTTATTCCAGCAGTAGGCAACTCGGGGTGTGACTACAGAGTAGTTTAATCCAATCTAAATCTAGGCTGCTGCAGTCCTGCCCACAGCTAGTCTCACGTTCCCACTGCCTCCTTGTGTTGGTAGTAGCGCTCCAGCAGCCTTGCAGTGAGCTAGCACCAGCTTAACTTTTTGCTTGTTTGTTTTGAGGGGGTAGGGGGCTAGTTCTCTGACGCAACTCACAGGTGTAGCATATAAATGCTAACATTGGTACACGTAGATGGCAAAAATACGTGGCACAGGATGGAGGAAGGCAGGAAGTATCGATTTCTGTGGCAGTGCAGACCTAAATCACGTTACGTAACCATGGCTTCATGCGATAATTTCAAAGCTAACACTACCAGTGAAAACAGGAGTTCTGTGTGCCTTTTGCTCACGTCTTCTGTGTCAGTGTTGATGAGCTGTAGTTTCAGGAGTTGATACTGAAATTGTTTACAAAGTGTAAAAAGATGACAGTATTGTGTGAAAAAAATCCATAAAAAAAGTCTCCATAATTTTTACTGGTTAGTACAAGTCCCTTGTAGTGACACAGGCACTGGTGTGATTGTGCAGTGTGAATTAGTCCATTGAACTGATCTGCACTATAATTAACACAGCAAAAATACCTCTAGCATTTACTTTTAAGCTGTGTTGATTCACTGATATGGTTTACAGTGGAGTTGCTTGTGCTGGCAGAAGTGGAAGGGTGAGGTGGAAGCAGAATCATGAGTATCTAGGAGTATAAGTGAACGCAGGACTAATTCTTCTAGTAACAGTTCCACCTTGAAGTGTCCAGCTGCACTAATTTTGACTTTCGTTGCCCCTTTCTTACTACATGAAATCTGGATTTTTGGGAGCTACCAGTAAATTAACATTTTCTAGGGGGAGGGGGAGTGGTCCTCAAACTTGGACTATAATCAAACATTCTCCTTATTCTTACTTCCTAAGCAGAAAGGCAGGTGTAGGGTTATAGCTCTTTATGGTGTAGCAAAAATAACTGATCCCACCTGCGGTCCAGACAAGCCAAAATCTGCTGATACTCCCAGCCTCAATGAGTAAAGAAGAGGCTGGAAGTTGGGGATAACTTTTAAGTACTAATTTTTACATTGAGATTTTAATTTAGAATAGCTTCATTTTCTATGGAGTATGAACCATCTGTAGCTGAACTCCATTCCCTCCATTAGAAGCTGAACATAGTCCTTTAACTCAATTTTTGAAGTTACTTTATGTACAGGATATTACAGTTTATTACGTAAACTGTTACAAATTAAGTGTCTTCTGGAGAATTTTGAAGAAGTACAAAATCAAGTTTGGTACTCTGCAAGTTTTTAAGGAGTGTGAGAGCATGCTTTTAAGTCATTTTCAGCAATAACAATAATCTTCCTCACTTTAGTAGCCCCCTATGCAGTCAGCCGTAGTATCTTCCCTTATTCCTTGAACTACATAAAACAGTCCTTCATTTGAAATTGAAAGGAAACCTACCGACCTGTTTAAAGATGTGCCCCAGACATTAAAGTAAATATTCCAGGAGGGATACTTTTTAAGGGGGAAACAGAGTTTGCATTGCTAACAATGTTTTGAGACGGTAAGCGTGGACCTGAGATTATAAACGACTGAAGCGGTATTCAGAAAACAAAAACCTTTCCTATGAAACAATGATGGGCTTTAGGACAAAATTTAGAAACTTGGATTTCAGTAATACTTGCTATGCAAAAGGATTCCTAAGTGCTTCCAAGCTGTTACAGAATTCACTTCGCTACTAAGAAATGCAGCCGCGTTGGAGTTGAGAGGTAATTGCTTTTGCAGTGTACGCACTTCATTAAAATAGTTAGTGGGATAAAGAGCTGTGACATCCGCACAGTAGTCTGTTGCACCTTTTAGAAAAGTCACATCACTTTTCTGTTTTAAGGGTCTATGATATGGAAAATATTTTAAGAGCATGAAAAAGTGAACAAAAGCTTAAAGCTGCGATCTGATTTTTGCCACGCTGCCAGGCAAGTTTACTTCATGCCCTTCTTGCTGTGGACTTATCCTCTCCTGATCCATTTTCTTTAAAAACACCTGCAGTATATCCATGATCCCAGAAGACAGTGATAAAAGATAGTGCTGTCCCTGGTATGTGTTATAAGGTAACCATGCTTTAAATATTAGCAGAGCAGATATGGATTACTGATCTTCTATATTTTTTCTTAATGCTTGTCCCTTTTTGCTTCTATTTGAGACTTCACTCACCTAACCTTCGCTTATATTACTTATATTATGGTAAATTTTAATCTTAAAATTCAGGTTATGTATTACACTAGAAGCAAGGGACTGGTGGTTGCAAAGTTCATTCTGTCTTGAAATTAAATCTGTGACCAGCGAGTATTGGCCTAGTCATTGGTGTCAGTGAGCTGTAGTTTGTCATTGATGAGCTGTAGTTTCAGGAGTTGATACTGACATTGTTTACAAAGTGTAAAAAGATGATAGTATTGTGTGGAAAAGACTCTTAAGTCTTCATAATTTTTACTGGTTAGTATTACTGACTTGTAGATCTTTTAACTCACCTTGCAGTGTTTCTTGTATTGCTGTTTTTGAGTATGGCATGGAATAGGTTCATGTGACCTAATGTTATTGGACTTTTATCTTTTTATTGTTTAATACCAAAAGCTGAGATTGTTTTTAATTCTTTCTGTTACTTCACAATTGAGTAATCGACATCTTAAAATCAGGAAGCTGGTGATATATGGTGACCTATACCAATTATAGGTCGCAGACCTCAAACATTGTAGTTAAAAATACAGTTAAGTTAGGCTGTGCTTGTACATCCAGACTTTGAATCAAATTTCAGCTGCTTTTATTTAGTTTTTGTTTAAACCTATGCCAGCACATAGAATTAAATGTTGATATGAGCAGAGCTATAGTTCAAATTATTGTGCAAGTTAATGCTCAAACCCATTGGACATACTACTGGAGTTTGATTATTAATGCAAGTCATGTTGTTATATATGCTCTTATTTCTCTTAGCTTTCTCTCTTCTGATTACTTTTCAGGTCTGTTAACTTGACCATCTTTTGTGATGAAACAGCATTGGGCATTATGGACAAAAACATTGGAGATCAGCTTAACAAAGCTTATGAAGCCTATCGACAGGCATGCATGGATAGGGACCATGCTGTGAAAGAACTACAGCTAAAAGTATGTATTGGGTTCTGAACTGTATTTTTAAAGCTGTCCTTTCCATGGATAACTGTGGTAAATGCAGATTTCAGTTTCACTTTAGTTATGCACTCTTTAGTGCATCTGTTAAAGCTGGAAATCGCAGTTATGAAACCAGGCCAGTATACTGCAGAGTAACTCATTAAGGTGTGAAGAAGTAGGTGGGTTTCAGGTTTTTGACCTTTAATTTTTGTGTGGCTTTAAAGGTGAGAAAAGTGTTATCCGTTGTGGAAGGTTAGTGAAATCTTTTAATGTAAATAACAGAGATCAGTTTCAAGTTATCCAACTGTAATGAAGTACATTTTGAAACTTAATTTGCTTTATTCAAAAGTGACTTTTTCAGTTATTAATGTAGATAGCTTAATTAAATTAAGCTATTAAATAGGTTAAATTAAATCATTTTGTATTAATAGGAAGATATGTCATATGAATTATTAATTTACTTGATGCAAGGGCCAAAGACTCTTCTATATTAAGCACTGTGGACATTAAGCTATTAGGACAACAGAGTTTGTGTCTTGAACAGCAAACTTATCTTCAAATGATTAGGATAAGTATTGATTTTAAAAAATCATCTATGGAATTACTCTTTAATAACGAACGAACAGAAGCAGATTCTGGAGGCGTTCTAAACAGTGAGGATCGCTTCTGAATTTTTACTTTTTTTTTTTCCCCTCTCACTTTTGCAAAAAACATTACTTCCGCCAAAGCTCTTATAGAGCTTTCTATCAGTTTGAGGCTTTCTATTGTGCATATTCTGCCCAGCAGTGGAACCTTTGTCATTTTACAGGAGGGTTTGAATGTTCTTTATGTTATAGGATTTTTAGATGCTTTGGTAGAACTGGCAGGCTGGGTCTTAATCAAAGGCAGATCTCTGTGTGAAGTTATGAAAGCATTGGTACAACCGGGAATAGGGAAAGGTCTGCTAGAGAATTTTCTCAAATCTGGATACAATCTTCCCATCGCCCTGCTGCGAGACAAATGAGTGAAGGCACTGCAAAACAGGTATGCAGTCAGTACTGAGTGCAGTCATCCACTGTGCAGTCTTACCTACGTTCACAGTGTGTTGTGGCAGCGCTGATCCAAATGTGTTTCTGTCGAGTTTTCCATGCTTGACAAGCGCAGGTAGTGTGTCAGATACGTTTTTGTGCTGCAGTTGCAACTAACTTAACAAGAGGCAGATGATATTAGAATGTCTGCGAATCTATTAAATTGTCTCTTATGATGAGCAATTAATTATTTAAAGAAAAAACAGTCAAGTTAATTCTTCTGGAGCATCTAGCAGTACATGAAAGAAATTTCTGCCCTCAAAACAAAACATCAAATATGAGGTCAGGGGATAGCAGTTCTAAAGCCCACGGAAGAGAACCAGAAAAGTGGGTGAGATATGAATGTTGTTAAATGAACTAAATGTTTGCAAGGTTTCTCTCTGCATTTCCTCTGGCTCAAAAGTTAAAAACAAAAGCAGATCTTTCATAAAGGATTACTACCAGTTCAAATCTGTGTCATAATCAAACTTTCTGTGACTTCAGAAAAGAACAGAAGTATTTTTTTCAGGAAGAGTTGATCCTATAATAAGTTGTTTGTGGGGTTTTTTTGTTTGTTTGCTTTTTTTTTTCCTTCATAACCAAACTTGTGGTTTCTGAATGACCTTTGTGCAATGCTTTGCTCTAGCAGCTTCCTCTGTTCATTATGTGGCCTTCGCACTTTGTTGGATTGTCCACCATTCTGTTGTTAACAGTTTACTACTTAAGTTACCGATAGGCCACTTGTTTTGCCAGTCTCTAGAGCTGGGAGCCATGTCAAGCACGCAGAAGCCAGAGTCATCTCGGCCAGATGGTGTTTGATACAGATGGATGGTTGGTTGTCATGCAGATCTTCTAGTTGGTAACTTGTTGCTGCCATCTGACTCAAGGAATAATTTGTGCACACTGGCTGTCAAAAGCATCTTCTCTTCTGTCTGTTTTAGCTGTCATGTCTGTGCTCTGTACAGAAGTGTTGACAAGACATTGCTGTTGTACATTTTCAATTTGGTTCTCAGTGATTTTTCTGCTTCATGAGGTCTCTTATAGCTGCTGGAGTGTACTGCTCTTTGATCGCTTTTTTTTTCTTTTTCCTTTTTTCTTTTTTTTTCTTTTAAAGAACTCTCACAGTACAACTAGTACCTGCCCTTTTAAAATAACATTTAGTTTTAGATTTATTCCTACATACTCCATGGACAAGCACATCCTTGTAGGGGGAGAAAGGAATTGAAATGTAATTGAGATCTGGAATTAAACAGCAGTACAGATAAGCTAGGAACAGAAGTAAGAGTCCCAAATCTTGATCTATTCAAGTAATAGATATATTCTTAATTTCATAAAAACTCAGTGCATTCTTGTATGTTTCCTTGACAAAATTTCACAAGATTTCTTGCTTGTTTTTAGCACTACTGTAACTGCAACATTAAAGATGTGCTAATGAAATAATAGTTTTTGAATATTAGCATCTTCCTGCCACCTGACCATTTGTTCAATTAACTGACTGTCTAATAATGTTTACACACTTCAGTGATATGTGAGCAGTGTTATTAGGCTCTGTATGGCTTGATTATAGCACAAGATGGAGTAAAATTTGATGAAAATTCAGCTGATCAACTACTCTTTTTCTCTGCTTGCTTGCCTTTTCTCCCATTTTTCTTGGTTAGAAAGTCAACTGTACTAGATCCAGAGGAACAGGCAAAACTCTGTACGTAGGTAATTAAAGTTACTGAAAACAATAACGTTGCTTTATATTCTACAACAGATATTTTCTAATTTAAAGTAAATCTTTTTTTTTTTTGGAAAACCTATTTTAATATATTTTATTTTGTTAGAAAGAGTGGGGGAAGAAAATTACATCTTTCTATAGATAAACTAACTGACCATCACCCTGAAAAAGTAAATACTAAAATTCTAATTTTAAACCTGGTGTGTTCTATGGCTATGAAGGAAGATTCCTCTACTTAAAAGTTATCCTACGCTTTATAGCTGTCACAGTTAAATCCTAATTTTCAGTAACTATGTTTTATTTGCTATAATACCTTTCCTAATCAGTGCAGTCTTGACAGTACAGGCTTGCTAAAGGTGGCAGTAGTTGGGTTTACATGGACAGGCCTACAACTACAATCGTGTTTAAAATCAAAGCTGATGACCTGTATATGCTAAATTTGAGGCCCCTAGTCAAAACAAGATAAGACTAATGCTAATTAAATTATATTTGCAGACAGAAAACTACATACAGCAAATACGTGAACAGCAGGAACAGATAGAGCTTCAAAACAGTATTATTGCAAAATTGAAATCACAGTTAGCTGCTCTGAATGCTAATAGAGGTACGTACTCCAGCTTGCACATGCTATTTCTTTCTATGCGGTGTTGCACTGATAAATAGTTCTGACTTTGTTGCTTCAGCTTTTACAATAAACATCTCTCAAAGCAATACCATACTTTTCTGTGAAAGCGAGCGTTAACACAAACGTGCAGTTTCAAACTGTATTTATAAAAGGCAACACTTTCAAGGTCTTTCTGCATCCTCTTCAAGAAGTGGTGAGATTTCCCTCAGATGTAGAACCTGCTCACGCTGAAGTCAAAAGTTATGTGAACATGGATAAAAATAATTCACTATAATTAAAACAAAATTGTTGTGTATCAGTTTTACAGTTGTCTGTAAATAGGTTTAGCTGATGCGTTGTTCTAGATGCGACTGCTAGGGATACGTGTCTATTATGTTAGATGCTAACATGCTGTTGGGAGGCTAATTTTACTAGCTAACCAAAGCTTTATAAGCAGGTACTTCTCTTTCAAATCGAATAGTCATTGATGGATAATTTTCCACTGTTTGACTATTTGTATTACACAAATAAGAGAAAACAGAGTCAAAGTAACCATGTGTTAATCTGCCATACTCATTAAATATTTACTCACAGTAGCCTAACGCTGCTGGTTTTCGTGAATACTAGCAAAGTGGTTGGCTTTTCTTTTTAAGAATACATGTACGTTCCTTATTGCTGAATTAGTCTTGCATTTTTTCTAAGCAGAGAATTGGGCTTCTCTTGCTTGTTTAATATGAAAACTCACTAAAAGAAACTAAGTAAGTCTAGCTTCTTTTTAATTTGATTTTATTTAGAATCTGGCTAGGGAAAATACAGTGACAATCAGCTGCTTTTTATTTTAAGGTAATGCGCATTCCTACATTCTGGTGCCTGAAGAACTCGAAACCTCCAACTTATCTTTCAGCCAGCTCTCTGAAAAACTAAGCATAGCAAAGCAAAGAGAAAAACTCCTAAAGGTATGGTCACCTGCAAATGTTTTATGTACGATCATGTTTGTGCTGTGCTTACGCTGTGAGGATCTAAAGAGGGGAGTGAGGTTTCACTGGTACCTTTGAATTGCCTTTCTTCCAGTGCAAGATTCCTACTTGAAGTGCATAAGTGTTGTGCCACTGGGGTCTGGTCAGTTGAACTAATAAGCATCTTTGATCCCTCCCAGTGCAATTGCTGTTTGGCCATCCAGCTCCCTAGAATAATTTTGAGGAAGTTATTTGGAAAGTAGGAACTTATTTGCTTATTTATTTCTTAACTTGCCATAAACAGGGCAAATCAAAAAGGGGCTCTGTATCTCACAAGAGCTTTTCACATTGCATGCAGCCAGTGTATTTTTCCAAGAAGAAAGGGAGAATCTGCTCCCAGAAAGTGATGGAGTAGAAAGTGATCCTATGCCTGTCTACTGCTCTGCAGGCACTGATGATATGTTTGCTTTTTAAACGGCAGTCCTAATACTATGTCTTTTCTTCTCCTCTTCTCCTGTTAACTGAAATAACACTGAGACTTTCACTACAGCCTGCTTAGAACAGCAGGAATAATAAAGCAAAGAGCGTAGAATAAATAGGAAATACCTTGAATAAGTCTTGCATGTTGAACAAAGACAGTGAAAGAGGTGCACAAAGTTGCATTGTTTTTATCCCATGACATGGGATAAAACACTATGTTTTGGTGTTCTGAATATGAATGTCCATGACAGTGACTCTGTAAAATCATCTTAAGAAGACCTATGTAAAATCAGCCATCAAATTAAAAATAGTTAATTTTGGGATCTGTTTCCTGAATGTGAGCTATGAACAAATGAATCATGCTGAATTCACAGAAATGCAGTGTTTAATCAGAAATGTTAATTGGAAAATTATTTTATTGGATTACAGATGCTTATTAACTCTCTTGAAGGAATCTCACCTGAGACCAAACCTTTTCAAAAACAAACACCTTAAGGCTATTGTTACCAAAGATTTAGGTACCCTCCTTTCTTTATTTAAAAAAAAAGTTTGTACATGCTTTTTCTATGTAGAGTCTAATCACATGATATAATTTCTTTCCTAGTCTTTGATTTATTTATTAGAGTACAAGACAGCTGAAGGGTCCTTTGATGGAACATCTTTGCATATTTTTACATTTCTCTGCCTTTGAATTGGATAATACTTATTTTTAATAATTGTGCATGGAGACCTGACCAAGCCTAATGTTCCACACTCTTTTTTTCTGAATGCTTGCTCAAGGACAATGGTTTAAAGTAACCTAATCATGTGTGTATGAGAAAGGAAGGCATGTTTCCCCATTCTTCTCGTATGGGGAAACACTGAGAACTGATGTGATCTATACAGAACATTACAGGCAATGAATGAGAGGCAGAAATCATTATTGCAAGCACTGTTTTCTTAGTGGGTTATAAATTATTTGTCTTTATCTGCATTTTGGCAGATAATGCCCTGTCTTTCTGAATACATGAACTAGGAGGCATCAAATAATTGGGGGCCAGATTCAAAAAAAAAAAAAAAAAGGCAAAAGGAGATTATTCTTCACGTGACAGGTAGTCAACCCATGGAACTTCCTGCAGAAGATTACTGTGGATGCTAAGTTTATGTTGCTTCAATGACAACTTCATGGAAGAGAAAGCTGTCTGTTTCTAAATGCAAAGAAAGTGCTGGCTAAGGAAGCCTGGGAATTTATTAAAGGATGTATCATGCCTGCATTCTTGTACTCTTCCCTAAACATCATCTTTTGGCCTCTGTTAGACCAAAAATCCATCATCCTATCACTGACTCAGTGCAGTTCTTATATTAAGAACAATTTATGAGATATTATGCCTATTTTCCTTTCTCTTGTTATCTAAGTTACTTAGTCTTGGATCCAGTTCAATCAATTCCTGGCTTTTTCAGCTATTTGAATTTGGAAGCTCTCTTAATATTCTATCTGGGAAAAACTTGTATTTTTCTAATCATGTTCTAGCCACCTTCAGCTCTAAAACAAATAATATCTACAGCCATTATCTTCCATTGCATTAACTACTGTATTCTACTTCTCCAGTAAAACTTTCAGGCTTGCAAAATGTGCAATTCCAGACAGTAAATCATGATTGCTGTCCTTAAGTTAAAATGTTGGGTTTCTATCTGTCTTTCCTTGAAACTTAGAATCTCTCTCATGACTGAAGGTCTCTGGGTTTACCCATACTTATTGGAAATTGTGTTTTGCTAAAGCCAATAGGATTTCTCAGTGGACTATATTCTGCCCTCCAGTAAAGTGCCAGATTGACTGTAATAGGTGTGTGTGTGATCATAATAGGTGTTTGTGATCAAACCTTAACTTTCAGAGGGGGGTAAAGGGGGGGGGGGGGGGAGGGAAGGGTTTTCTGTGTTTTCTAAGCCTCATAAACTTGAACATGCTTCTGTATTTTAACTGCTGCTGTCAATTTTGTTGCCAGCCTATCCTAAAGAGTTTCCTTTGTTCACCCTCATATGCACTGATTTAAAGCATAAATAGAATCCTATATGCCTCTTTCTGTATATCTGCATTGTACCAGTCCGCCTGGTTTCTTTTGTACCTCTGATGTTTATGCTGGAATTTATGCGTGAACAATACCACATGTAATCATTGTGCTTGCATGAGTTTTAAAGAATTAGCCTGGAAATGATCTTGCCCTTACTGAAGTGGATTCATCAAAAGTGTTTGTATAATGGCTGTAGGATTAAATCCACAAAACTCCTTGACCCCCTCAGTCTGGATACTTGTCAAAAAAGCTGTGGCAAGATGGTAATCGTCGCTGAAGGAGGTGACTGAGCCAGATAACAGTTGGTTTGGTGGTCAGCACTGAAATACATACAAGACTATCAAATTTTTTTTAGTCACCTACTTGAGGAGACTGAAAGGCCTAAATTTACTGCCTTCTCAGATGCTGTTTTTTTGAGTACAGCCTGGCTTGACTTTAACTAGGAAGAATGTGAATGCAGTTGTTTCAAAGCTAAAGCTGCCCAGCAAATAAAAAACCTTAGTAAGCAGGATTAGAGAATGTCTGAATCTCTGTACAACATGATAATCAAGTCAACATCTGCAACAAGAGAACATGTTCATAAGAACCTCAGTATTACACATCATCTGTTTTTTTTTTATTGATCAGACTTTCTTTTGCTGTAACAAAAGGAAAGAAACTGTGTCAAGAATGAATGATGTATATCTATTCATCCTACAAACAATTTTTAGGTCTTTCCCTGTGTAGAACATAAGCAGAGGAATGACAGATGCATAGAAGTCATCTTTCTATGCTCAAAAGTGTGGTGCTAAAATAACTTAGGAGCAGCTACTGCAGTAGTCTAATGGAGAGTTGAGTGTTCCAGTCAATATGTGCATCTCTAGTGTCACTTTTATTCCTATCTTTGATGCACAGAAAGCTCTACTTTACGATTTTATGCTAGTTGATACTTCTATGCATTTAGCTGTTTTGTACCACTGATATTGTGTATACAGTAGCATTAGTTAGGTCCTACTACCTGATCCAAGAAATTCTGGTATTGATAGAATAGCTTTTTTTCTTATTGCTTCATCTGTTTAGGCTACCTCTACCTAAAAATAATGAAGAAAGTGTGGTTAAACTGTTAAAAGACATTACAGTTTATATTCCTAGAGATCTACTTACAGTTTATTAATTGGATAGTATTTTTCTTGAAACCATCTGAAAGTTTGCTTATCCCAGGAAGGCCCTGAAACAGGCCATTAAAGCACACTTTAAAAAAAAAAAAATTCCCTTGCAACAATACCGTCTGGGGACTGACTGCCTGTGAGGAAGGAGGTAAAGGCTTAGCAGACAGCAAGCTGAGCATAAGCCAGCAGTGTGTCCTGGCAGGAAAAAAGGGCAACAGCCTCCAGGGCTGTTTTACAGGAGCAAAGATAACAGAGCAAAGGAAATAGTTATCTCCCTCTAATTAGCACTCATCAGACTGCCTCTAAAATACAATATCCAGTTATGGGCCCTCCACTTTAGGAAAGTCATTAATAAAGTAGTGTGAGTGCAGCAGAGGGCCCACCAAGATAGCCAGAGGCTAGACTACATGTCCTGTGAGAAGAGACTGAGGGATCTGCACCTTTTCAGCCTGGGGAAGAGAAGGCTTTAGGGGAAGCTAAGAGCGGCTTTCCAGTACCTACAAGGAAGTTATCAGAAGGACAAAGTCAGGCTCTTCCCATGCAGTGTGCGTAAGTTGAAACAAGAGAGGTTCAGACTGGACGTAAGGAAAAACTTTTCATCATGAGGACATCCAGGCATTGGAAAAGGTTGCCGAGAGAGGTAGGACAGTCTCCATCCTTGGAGGTTTTAAAGACCAACTGAACAACGTGGTCTGACCTCATTGCTGATCCTACTTTGAGCAGGAGGTTGGACTAGAGACCTTCTGAGGTCCCCTCCAACCTGAATTATCCTAATATCCCATAAGGCATCTCTAAAAGAAAAGGCATCACCTGTGTGATATAGCTGTCATGACATTAGTTTTACAAACTTAAACCAGTTTAATAATGCTACCACATTGTGGAAGCCACCAGTCAGCTTTAGAAACTATAACATCATCAAACTGTGAAGGGCTGTATTATTGTTAGATCTCAAAACATGTAACAGTTTCTCCAGCGTTATTCCTGGTGTGGTGTCCTGACAGTGAGCAAGAATGAAGACTTGCATCAGTATGCACTGATTTATCTTCTTTGCAACATGTTGTTTAACAGTAATTGCCACGCTGGTAATTCATGGCTCTTCTCACAGTGGGCTCCAACATGACTTTCCTCATTGCTTTCTTAAATCTTGTTCCCACTCCCTGCAGGAGATGGTAGGAGAAATGGAAGAGAACTACTGCAGGTTATTGCAATATACCCGGTTGCCTGAAAGATTTTGAAAGCTCATATGTTATATGGAGCTGTGATAGTTCCAGATAGATAAATGTGTGCAGATCAGTGCTGTATCACAGCCTCAATGAAAGAGTTAATTTACTGTCCTTAAGATAGAGTTGTTCTTCAATGGCAAGTGTTATGTGTGACATAACCCTTTTCCCTAGTGTTTGGATTGCCAAGCATGCCATTTGCAAAAGAAAATACAGGAAAAGCTGTGCCTCATAAGCTTTTTAAATGAGACATGGAATTTGACCATGGAATGTGAGGGAACCCTATGACTGGATGATGGCTCTGTGGTGGCTTGGGGCCTGTGAACTCATGCCTTAAAATATTACTGCCTTTCCATTCCTGGAACGGCAAAGAGCAGTTCCCCATACGTATATCAGCACTCCCTGATAACTATTTTGTTTCACTCTGCATGACCTGGGTGGAGGATTAGGAGCATAGCCCTATTCATATTTAACTATAGCTCAGCGCATAAACTGAAGCAGTCATGAACTTAAGGGTTGCTGCATGTTTTCATGTTTCTTTTGTTCATGAAACAACACTGAAGCATACTGTGCAGCTGCTTTGATTTTATTATTATTCTCGTGCTACATCGTGTCTTTCAGACTTTCTTTGTAGTCTTTAAAGAACATGGAAAAGGTAAATAGTTTTATAGCTATTTCCTGCCCCTGGCCATGCTATAATTTTCTTCAAGTATTTTCAGATCTTTTAAGAATACTTTTACTCATGCTTCCATTTCCTCTTAACTTAAATTGGTATTTTCTTCCTGCATCATTACATAGGTGTTTTTTTTCTCATTCCCTTATCCTCATCATATATTTCTTTGACTTGCTCTGAACTTTCTGTACCTCTCAGTACTGTGATTCTTCCTCGCGCTCTTGTTGTCCCTTCTGAGAAAATCAAATTTAGCTGCTGTAGCATCAGTTACAGAAGTTGCTGAATGTGTTCTTTAGACTAAAAACTGCAGATGTCTTGTTCTTTTCAAAACTATATCCAAAAATCTTTCTCCTCTTTTTTTTCTCTTTTGCTGCACTTTTTTTCTTCATCCACTTCCCTGGACTCTTACCTACTGTGACACAGTATACAGATTCTGTGCTGGAAGAGGATAGGAACTGTTTCATGGTCTGTCCTAGGAATACACATATGTTCCCTACAACACCTGCCAGCAGTGCAAAGCATGGAAGAAAGGTCATCCAGCCTAATTACTAAATGAATTAAGAAGTTAACAACACCTAAAGTAGAAAGGAACAGCTTTACATGCCTTGCCAGTTCAAAGGTGGTTGAAAGAATGGGATATATAAGATCTGTAGCAGATGGTGAGAGAAGAGTTTTGCTGAGACAGAAACATCCCATTTTCAGAGAAAGTTTTGAGAAGCCTCTAAAAATAGGATTATTTGGGATCCTGGAGATCCCACCTAAGTCCAGAGTTGCCTTGAAGCTTTTACCCTAAGTTGACTATTTAAAGTGATAATTGAAACTGAAGAAAAAAAAAATTCCTTCAAACCCTATTTCTGAGTTTGTTTATCCAGCTAATACAACTTCTTGGGGCTGAACTGTTGTGTCTGCCGCACACAAATACATCCATGCTTAACCACCTAGTGTCTCTGTAGGTGGCTCTGGACTCATCCCTATGTGGCTGCCATTGAGACATTCGGATATCTCACTGATAATATCTCACATAATTTAAAGTACCCCCTACCTACTGACTGCCCAAGTGCACCACCTCACCCACTTTAAGTCCTATTTGTAAATTAAACATGTGCTTTTTCTTGAAAAAGCATTCCTTTGCTTGTTCTTTCGTCTTCACCTTTCCCTGTCTGTCCACAGACTATCTTACTGCGCTTCACTTACATTTCTTCTTGCAGAGTTGGGCCTTTGGGCTTAATTCCCTTCCAGAGAAGCTTCAGGCAACTCTTTGTCACATTTAATACAGTTCAGTATCTGTGTTTCAAGAGACTTAATGAATTGACAATTTTAGTGTTTCATAGCTGCAGTTTAGTACCATAGGTTGTTTCTTGAAAATTATCCAAAGACTATCTGTATGCATATTAAAAAAAATTGTTCCTTATATGCTTCTTCATTCCACCAAAAAGCCCACATATATAAAAATTCCACAAATTACCAGATGGATTGTTAAAGTGGGGCCAGCCACTGCTTTTTATTTCCTAAATCTTTATAGCATTGCGAATATTCTTGGGTCTGCTCCAAAATTAAGGTAGCTGCAGAATATCACTTTCTTTAAAATTTTTTTAGATTAATTGAAATTAATGAAATATTGTCATATATATTACACAAACAATATTTAGTACATGAAATATGTTAATGTATATGCTATGCGAAGTGAATCAAGATAGTCGTCTTTATTCTTTATAAACACTAATATGACTTTCCTAAATTCAGAACATATCATTGTTTTAAGTAACCACCTGTAATCAGATACATAAATATGTAGCAGTAGAAGGTCTTTGCTACCAATTCAAAATTAATAATGTATTAAATAAGACTGGCCCTTTACTTAGGTTGCAAAGGCTTAATTTTGCCTATTCCAGACTGCTGAACAGTGATATTCCCCAGTCTCAATTACAGTAATTATACTGGTATTTCTAAAATTATTTTTTAGGAACAGTTAGAAAATGAGAGCATTAAGATGAAGCAAATTGAAGACAAAAACAATCAGAAGGAAAGGAAGCTTATATCTATTATTTCCAACCAAGAAGATAAAATAAGAACTCTGAAAAACAAATTGAAAGAATTAAATGAAGCACAGAAGGGTATACAGGTCCCAATATATAAAATGGAGGTAAGATAAGAAACCAAATGGAGGTAAAATGAAAAAATAAAGTTTTGTAATTTTTTTTTCAAATATGTTTATGCTAATTAATCTGAGAAACAGATTTTAAATTTTAGCACTATGAAGTTACCAGGAAATTGTTTAAGTATATAAAGCATATAGGGAACACTGAACTATTAAATACATATTGGTTGGTTTGTGTGTTAATTATTTTTATGTTATGTCATTATAATATTAAGTAGTATTTGTGAAAACTCCAGATCAGCATTTCAGTTTTATAATTTTCAGTCTGGAGTTTTCAGCAACATTAAGTTGATTTTTTTCCCTTTCCTTTGTATCCCATACTACTTTTGTCATAGAAGAGCATGCGGAGTGAACTGTACTTGTGGGGTAGCTATAATGCAGTCACAAGTGTGAATGTAATCATGTAAACGTACTTCAGCTAGCTGAACTGAAGTGAATTTAGGTAAGAGTATGAGCATAGCACACGTAACTTGTTGCTATCAGACTTCCCACGTATTTGCTTAACTTCTTGTGGCAGGCACCTGTAACCCATGTTGCTGTATACTTTCATCAGTAGCAGCAGTAGAGATTTTAAAGCAGCTCAAACGTGTCTACAGGAGCTGCACTCCCACTTTACTGCGAGACAGACAAACTATAGGCTGTAGGTCTGTGATTATAAACAGTGTATCATTGAAATCAGCTATTTTGACAGAAATACGTCAGGTTCTGAGTCTGATTTGGAGCACGTCTGACCTACCAGGTTATCTGGCAATGTAAATCTAATGGAATTACAACTTAATGACTGCTTATGGTAAAAAAAAAAAAAAAAAAATCACTTTTTTTAAATACCTGGCATTGACTTGAAACCTGTGTAATACTAGTGTAAACCACAAGGTGGTAGTCAAAGTTAATAACTTCTTTAAAAACGTACTAAAACTCCTGACATACTAGCTTTTGGTATGTTTGTTGAAAATGTTAGTGGATAAGTTGATTTTTGTAAGAACTAAAATAGCTGGATATCTCAGTAACAAGCTTATACACAATTACACATAATCTGAATTGTACGCAATTAAAACAGAATTATAGCGAAGTAATATTCTTAGGACCAGTTTCCCTTTCTTTCAAAGTAGTAAGAGCAGGGAATGCTGCACGACATGTGCTAAGTTAACCTAAAAAAGGGAGTTACAGTCAAACTGCAAAAAACAGCTTTTGTCATTTTGTGAACTTTTTGAGAGCTTCTAGAAGGATTAGCTGAAGGATACTATGACATTTGTGATTCTCATCAGAGTGAAGAGCAAAATGAATGTGCTAACATGTGATCCATACTTTCATGTTTTACTTTAAGGTGAAAAGTAAGAAAGTTGTTCCAGATAAGCAAGAGTTATCTCTAGGGATCTCTGGTATTTCATCTGTGTCTGAAAGGTAAATATTTTTGCAGCGTTTTTGCAATTTGCTTTTATCTTTTTTGCTACAAAATAGTAAGACCAGCTATTTTCCCCTTCTTTACATAGTAACTTGGAAAAAAAAAAAAAGCGGGGGGAGGGTCAAAGAGCTAGTGTGGGGAAACAAATAAAGCCAGTGAGCATGTGAAACCAAATAGCTGGGGCTTTGCAAGTATGTAGGGATAAGC